TGTCTGTTTGTGTGTCTTTCTGTCTGTCCATCCATCTGCCTGTCTGTCCACCTGCCTGTATCTGTCTCTCTGTCTGTCCGTTTTGTTGTAGGCCCGTGTGCTCAGATTTGGGTGTACGTTAAAGAACCCCAGGTGGTCGAAATTTCCGGAGCCCTCCACTACGGCGTCTCTCATAATCATATGGTGGTTTTGAGACGTTAAACCCCACAAATCAATCAATCAATCATCTGTCCATTTGTCTGTCTGTCCGCCCGTATCCCCGTCTGTCTGTGTGTCTTTTTGTCCGTCCGTCTTTCTGTCTGTCTGTCCGTCTGTCCACCAGCCTGTCTCTGTCTGCGTGCCCGGCCACCCATCGGCCTGTCTGTCGGTCCGTCTGGCTGTCCACCTGCCTGTCTCTGTCTCTCTGTCGGTCCATCCGTCCATAAGTTCGTCTGTCTGTCCTGTCTGTCCGTCTGTTTTTGTGTCTTTCTTCCCGTCCGCCTGTGTGTCTGTCTGTCCGCCTGCATGTCTCTGTCTGTCCGTCTGTCCATACGCCTGTGTGTCTGTTTTTCCGTCTGTCCATCTGTCTGTCTGTCTGTCTGTCTGCCTGTCTGTATGCATGTGTGTATGTATGTATGTATGTATGTATGTATGTATGTATGTATGTATGTATGTATGTATGTATGTATGTATGTATGTATGTATGTATGTATGTATGTAGTATGTATGTATGTATGTATGTATGATGCATATGTATGTATGTATGTATGTATGTATGTATGTATGTATGTATGTATGTATGTATGTATGTATGTATGTATGTAGTATGTATGTATGTATGTATGTCCATCCAACGGCCTTTCTCTGTGTGTCAGTCCGTCCGGCTGTCCATCCGTCTGTCTATATATCCTACCGTTCATCTGTGTATCGCTCTGTCTATGTGTCCGTTCCTCCGTCCTTCCAGTGAACACTCCAAGTGCAACTATCTCGCAACTTTTCATCATATATTAATCATATGCAAGTACCACCACCTAGCAGACATTGAAAAAACCAAACCATAGGTGGCTACCCACAACTAGATACATCGAGGACGCATGACCCACGACTTAAAGAGACTCACCACTAAAATGAACTCAGCATGCCGTCTGGAACGCGAATCACATAAGCATCAGGGTTGATAATCAGTGGCATGCTTGGATATCGAGTGCTTGCAATCGACTAACCTTTCTTGCACATATTCGGTTGTTCACAGTCATGCCAATAACGTGATGCGTTGACGTTTCATGGTAGTGCTGGCTTCTAACAACGTCAAGCACACCATCATACTGAGTAAACTGAGCGCTGTAGACGTTGGTCAAAAAGACCATATTTACATATCTACGTTGTGTCTGCACATTCACGCTCTTCCTTCATCAGAAGTTTGCCCGCCACGGTGGTATAGTGGCTAAGGTACTTGGCTGCTGACCCGCAGGTCGTGGGATAAGGTTTCGGCTGTGGCGGCTGAATTTTGGATGGAAGAAAAAATGCTTTAGGCCCACGTGCTCAAACTTCTGTGCATGGTAAAGAAACCCAGGTGGTCAAAACTTCCGGAGCCCACCCCTGCGAAGTTCCTCATAACCATATAGTTGTTTTGAGACGTTAAACCCCATACATACATCATCAATCATCACCTTATTGGGGAGTTTCGACACACGTCAACGGTGAGTGCTATTCCTCTTCTTCTTAATCTCGCCAGGAAGATAGAATCCAGAGAACCATACCAAATTTATATTTTTCCTTTGCGCAGATGATACTGCCCACAAGATCATAGGCAGCTCTGACGGTCACATTCCAGAGATTCTGAAGTCTCTCGCTGACAAGGTAGTGGTTTCGGGGGGTAACAAGAATCTGGCCTGTTCAGCGACTAAATCTGAACTGCTCATCATCCCTGCTCGTCAGGGCTCTGAAAAGCAGATCTCTGATATAGAAATAACCCTGATCAACATACCCTTACCCAACGTTGATAGGCTCAGGGTGCTTTGACCGCACATACAACTGAATCAACACAACAAACACACCATTAAAGCACTTTCGACAACTGTGGACCACACTCTAAAAGCATGGCGGGCTACTAGAGGCAGAGCTCCTCCGCCTGATCGAAGCCTTTATTCTCAATAAGGTAGCCTATTAATAATAATAATAATAATGGTTTTTATTTCCACCAATACACAGTTGATGGAGGGGGTGAGAATAAAAGCGATTATCCGCTTGACTAAGTTCTCACCCCCCAATGTACATAAGGCAGTGGCGGTGGCGGCAACAGAACACCACAGCTGACAAGAATACACAACATTAACAAAATTAGAATTGATAAAGCCTTCAAACTAAAAAAGAAAAAAAAAACCCACACAGACACAGTGCAATAAACATATATAGTAATATAAATCAAAAGTCGCAATATGTAAAGCACGAATACATTAAACATATTATTTACATGCAGCGGTGACTGCATTTTCATCCTTTGTGTTTTTGTTTATTGTTTTCCCTAATTGTTATCTACGAACTTTGAAGATAAAGTCTTAATTGTCAGGAGTGTTAATAAGATATTGGCGAAGTTGAGAAAGGGTGATATCTGCTATGTTAACACCTGATGAATATAACCTGTTTAATTGTAACGGTAGCTGATAAGTAATTTTTTGTTGTCCATAGTTAGTTCTTATACGAGGAAGCATCCAAGGTGGTTGATGACGGTGAGGGTACTTTGATTGATAACGTATCATGGAAGCGATATCTGTGATAGTAAATGAACGTTTTTTTTGTTCGATCTTATAGCGGCGTAAAAGCCTGTAAATGTATAGGTGGTAAACATTGATGATTTCATGTTCACTAAACAAGTGATCTGTTGTATGTCTGTGAGGAAGGTTGTAAATTAGACGGAGGATTTTATTATGGAGTGATGAAATTTTTCTTAAATTAGTTTTAGTCGTTGTCGCCCACACTAACGTGCAGTAGTTCAAGTGTGAAAGGAATAAAGCGTGGTATATAGCAAGCTTTGCCTTTAAAGGTAAAACAGATTTATGTCGCCAAAGTATACCAACCGCTCTCGATGCTTTTAATAAAATGTTGTGGACATGATCATTCCATTGCAAATGTAGTGTGAAATAAACTCCTAGTGATTTTATTGACCTGACAATTTCAACTGGCTGGGATTTATACAGCAAATGTACTAAAGTATCAGATTTTTTATTAATAGAATTAAAAATTATAGCTTTAGTTTTATTTACATTAACTGACAGTGCATTTTCCTTTGTCCAAACTTCTAGCTTACCTAATACATTGTTACCACGGGAAGATAGCTCATTGTGTGTATCAGCTGACAAAAGGATTGTAGTGTCATCCGCATAAATAATAAACCTGGATTGATCATCAATGTTCGCAATATCATTAATATAAATGTTAAAGAGAAGAGGCCCAAGTATACTGCCCTGTGGCACACCGGCTGTAATATCACGCGTTTTGGACTGAAAATTGCTGATTTGAACGTACTGCTTCCGATGAGATAAATAAGATTTTATTAAATCTAAAGCGTGCCCTCTAATACCACATAAATCCAATTTTCTAAATAAGATACTGTGTACTATGCAGTCAAATGCTTTGGTAAAATCTACAAAAATGCCTAACACGAACTTATTTTTTTCTAATTTATCAAGAATATATTCTTTTTGATGAATCAAAGCAATTTCCGTAGAACGGTTTTTTCTAAATCCATACTGAGAATCATTGATAATATTGTTAGATTGTAAAAACTTGTCCATGCGTTTCAGTATGATTTTTTCCAGACATTTAGAAAAAACAGGAAGGATACTAATTGGCCTATAATTGCTAAAGTCATTTTTGTCTCCCTTTTTGTAAAGCACAATTACTTTTGCTATTTGCATAGCCGAAGGAAATGTAGCGGTTTGCAGGCACAAATTAAAGATATGTGTAAGCGGCACACAGATTAATTCAATGACATATTTTACTGGACGAATTTGTATGTTGTTTAAATCACATGACGTACTGTTTGAAAGCTCAAGAAACGTTTGCGTTACTTCACTCTCACCTACTGGTTCAAGAAAAAGAGTAGATGAACATCTGGCAGTAGGGGTGTCTTGTGAGTTATGTGGTGTAGAATGATCCCTTGCGAAGTACAAACTAAATGCCTCAGCTAATTTTTCCCCTGTGTAATCTTCTCCTTTATGAGTGATCTTGTCGAAATGCGTATCCTCAATGAAATTAGCGTCCAGAGAACGGATTTGTTTCCATAGTTTATCAGGATGCCGAAATGAATTTTCGAATTGTTTTTCATAATATCGCTTTTTGGCATTTCGGATGTCACTGGTCAACTTGTTTCTGTAGCTTTTAAACTCTTGAAACAGCTGTGTGCTTTTGGAGGCAATGTATGTGTTATAGAGTTTATTCTTCTGTTTAATGCGTGTATGAAGTTCATTACATATCCAAGGTTTTCTTATCTTTTTCATAGTACGTTTCTTTTTTAGCGGAAAGTGCCTATTATAAACACCGCAGAATTTACTAAGAAACTTTTCATAAGCTGCCTCTGCATTAGTTTCATTGAACACATCACTCCATGACATAAGTGACATTTCACTGTGAAAATTTTCAAGAGCATTAGGTGTGACGTACTGAACCATTGGGGTACATGTGTGTTTAGATCTAGGCTGCTTTTTCTGAAAAAACAAATAAATGCCCATGTGGTCACTTAAATCGCAACAGATTACCCCTGAATGTATAACAGAATTGTTAATATTAGTAATAAACAGGTCAATCAGTGTTTCTGAGTTAGTAGTTATACGAGTAGGAAGCTTAGTAACAATACTGAAGCCAAAACTTCTTAACAGCACATCAAAATCAATTGCATGGGCAGAATTAGACATCATGTCTATATTAAAATCACCGCCCATAATGACATCATAGTGATGCGCAGAAGTAAAAGAAATATATGATTCAATGTACTCAAAAAATACGTCAACATCTCCACTGAGTGGTCGGTAGAACACTGAATAAACGGTATTATTTGCCAATACAGAAACAACCTCAACAGCAGATGACATGCAACAAAGTTCCGAGATCAATTCACATTCGATTTTCTTATTAACGAAAATGCAAACACCTCCACCACGACCCACATTACGATTGACGGCAAATGTGGAAAATGATGGCAAACAAAAGCTACTGCTCAGCCATGACTCAGATACCATGACGAAATCAAAAGACAGGTTAAAACTGTCTAACAAAATTTGCAGTTCATCAGCCTTATTGTTCAGTGATCGTACATTCAAATGAAAACATTTCACTGATGAGCCCAACCAATCGGTAGGCATGACGCTGCGAATGTTGCAAGGCAACACGAATCTATTGTTAGCCATTCTGACGTGATGTTCACATATTATGTGCTGACGTGCCTAACCACAGTAAAATTAGCCAGCTGACTCGCGTCCCTGACAACATGGGACGGTTCGCCATCTTTCCTGCGGATGAAGATTTTCCCGTTTGCATACCACACGTAACGGAAGCCATTATCGCGAGCCCATTGCTTCACAGTCCACAATAGTGTTCTTGCCCTGCGCGTTAGGTTTTCCGAAAAGTATATGTTTGCATCCTTTTCCTTTAGTAATCGCCTTTTCTGCAGCCACATATCCCTCAGCTTTTGGCTTTGAAAACGTATGATAATGGCGGGGGTCTTATTTGCCTTCGCCGGAAGGCGATGATAAGCTTCAAGGTCGTGATCGCTGACCTCAGGAACTTGGATCATCCTGGCTATCTCGTTTATCTTTTGGAGTAGATTCTCGTGCTCGTTGAAAAGTTTCCCATGAATTTCCAAGTTTCGGCTCCTGCTACGCATTTCCAGGTCATTCAAGTCAGAGTTTATCTGGTGTAGTTCCTCGTCAGGCCTTGCTCGTTCCAACTGTTCAGTTCTCTTACGGAGCTGCTCAATTTGTTTATCTTGGCTGTCCAATCGCTTCAGAATGGTATCGAAATGATCAGACATTGTTTGCACTGCCTGTTCAATGCTGTTCATCTTTTCATTTAGTGGCATTAGAAAATCAAGTTTTTGACTTAACTCCGCAAAAGCAACAGCAAAGTTAAAATCCTGACGAGCCGCAGCAGCGGCACCTGCACCGACGCATGGCGCACCAGTTTTACACGTGGAACACACATAGTTTTTGCGAGAATTGGTGCCACTTCTCGTCTTATCAAGCGGCTCAGTCAGTCCAGAGCACTGTTCGATGTGATAAGAATTACCACACTTTTTGCATTTCACTTTAGCATCAGTAGTTTCTAGGGTAAGCATGCAAGCAAGGCATATGTCCTCCCCAGAAACACTCATCTCTCATACACCTCGAAAAGCATGACTACGACGACAAGTTTGGCAGTAGCAGCAACCAGCAGAAAAATAGGAAAAGGAAAACACTGTGTGAATGTGTGAAGACAAACCTGTGAAAAATGCAGATGAACACGTCAGAACGGGCGTCTATCGCCGGTCACCGCTACTGCCAAACTGCCGATAACAGGTGGGGGCAGGGGCGTCTCAGATCATGACGCAATCCCAATGTTTGCGATGCCAGATTCCGTCGGCCGCCGAGTCCTGGACATCCAAAAGAAGAATAATGTAGCAGTTGCCGGCGTTGCAAGGTACCACGCTCGTCAGTGCGGCAGAACCAGCTATCCAGAGAATAGGACCACCGGTATCAGCGGCAGGACAGGGACGAACCTGTGAAAAATGCAGATGAACACGTCAGAACGGGCGTCTATCGCCGGTCACCGCTACTGCCAAACTGCCGATAACAGGTGGGGGCAGGGGCGTCTCAGATCATGACGCAATCCCAATGTTTGCGATGCCAGATTCCGTCGGCCGCCGAGTCCTGTGAAAAATGCAGATGAACACGTCAGAACGGGCGTCTATCGCCGGTCACCGCTACTGCCAAACTGTCCCTTATTGTATTCTGTCCTTATGTATTCTGTCCCTTATCTGTCCCTTCTGAAAAAGGATGAGAATTAATTACACAAACTAAGCAAAATCTACAACATCGCTCTTGAAGACCCAATTTGAACGTCCACCACCACGCGGTTTATGGAGATAGGCATATTCAACACCTCAACTGAGCCTAATGAAGCCCACTTAACCTCAAGACGTGGCCGTCTCTCTCCCTAACACACAGACAGGAAAATGCATACAAGAAACTCTGAGTATCAGGCCAACTCCAACCACTTAAGCCAAACACGCTATTCCGCATCGTATATGCATGAATCTGCACATTCCCCGCTCCCTAAACTTATGCACCCTGTACGCCATGAGTAAAGGCGATGACAGCGTGGGAGAACTCTCAAAAAATTGTCAGATCCCACGTACAGTGGAAATCGATTATATGCGAAGCACGATGAGGAAGGTTGATATGTCTCTTTAAAATCAGCACAGCGTTAAGGGGCGGAGAGGTAAATTAGACGGTACATGACTTACATGTCATAATTATCATGTGTGCGTCTGGCATTTTTGTTTGCCGTCCATTCACGTCACGTAACATCGAGCTTGGCATATGTGAAGCTAGGGAGACAGCTGCGAGCGCGCAATGAGCGTAGCAGATATTCATGTTTTACAAAACACGTATATCAAGATTATCATGTTCGCATATGTCATTTACCTTTGTCGTCCATTCACGTCACGTAATACCGAATTTGGTATATATGAAGCTCGCGAAACGGCCGAGAGTGCATCATGAGCCTGGAATGTAGCCACGTTTTTAGGTGGCACGCATGTCATGATTTCCACGTCAGGGCCGGCTACTTAAGTTCGCACTGCAATAATGTCATACTATACCACTTTTACGATTGGTCATGTGACGAAGCCACCACAGGAGCAGCAAGACTATGACATGAAAATCATGATATTCAAGACATACATGTCGGGATTTTTAAGTTATCACTAGTCATTTATGCCCTTCGTAAACCATGTTATGCCGTACAAAATTTGGAATAGATCCCATTACCCAAACGGCCAGGACAGCTAAAAGTTGTAGGTGACTAGATAGATATATAGATAGATAGATAGATAGATAGATAGATAGATAGATAGATAGATAGATAGATAGATAGATAGATAGATAGATAGATAGATAGATAGATAGATAGATACGGTCAAACACGCCGAAATCGGCTAAGAAGTTCTTCGCGTTTAAAACAATTTTCAATGTCTTAAAAAGTGCTTAACCCTGACGCCACTGATTTTTTTGCGTTTTCTCAGTTGTCAACTGACAAAGGCGGAAAGCTACTGCTGCTTCATTTTCCGCTTCCTCTTTTCAGGAGGCGAAGATAGCAGCCATTGAAGGAAGACGAAGTGAAGAATCACTTGTCGTGAGTTTCCTAGCGCTGCTGTTTTTTCGCCAATTTTGTAAGTTTTCTTACTCGTCTTCTGCATCTTACTGCCAAGATTCGGCCACCACCTTCGCGGTGCATCAGGCGCCGCGTTTCCAAGGCGGCAAAGCCTTATGTTAGGCTGTTACGACGTCCGAAAGCTTCGGCTACTGGTGGCGGCCATTCTTCTCGGCGCCAATCAGATGAAGACGAAGTGATGAATGCGTCCGAACAGCAAGACAATCCCGTATTTCACGGACCCGAGGAGGACTGTGACGGCCCCTTGACGACACATAACACTGACGACGAGTGTGTTACTCCGAGGAAGGCGCGAACTTATAATCAAGAGGATTACAGCAATGCAACAATCATCGACTCCGCGGAAATGAACTGTGATGCAGACGCAGAACACAGGCCTTTCACAACAGTCACGTACAAGAAAGCCCGACCAGCGGGGATACCCGTAATTTTCAAGCTGACAGACCCTAGCACTTCATTCTGGAATGTGAATCCGAACAAACTAGCCAGTGAAGTAGTATCTGCGGCTAAGGAGAAAGTGGAGTATATCCGTGTCAACAGAAATGGCAACTTCTCCGCAAGTGTCTCTACAGTTACTGCATCCTCCAGACTTCTTGAGTTAACACATGTTGCTGGTCTTGAGGTGGCACGGTATATACCGCAGTCGTATGTGAGGAACCTAGGCAAGATTAGACAAGTAACAGTGCAATACAGTGAAGATCAACTGCTTGAACATTTAAGAGACAGTGGTGTAATCTCAGTCAGGAGACAGACTAAATGGCTCCGTCGTGAGGATGGTTCAGCAGAGCCACATTCACTCGTCAGTGTAATTCTTGAGTTCTCCCCCGACAAGCCACTGCCGCCTCGTATTCTCCTAGGCTTCACAAGTCATTCGGTGGAAGAGTACCTACAGCCCGCGACACGATGTTACAACTGTCAACGATATGGACATGTTGCCAAATCGTGCCATGGAAAACCTCGCTGCAAAATCTGTGCAGGAGAACATGATTACAAAGAATGTACATCGAGAAATCATCCCAAATGTGCCAATTGCAATGGAGACCCCGTAGCGTCATATGCTGGTTGTCCGAAACACCAGGCAGCTACTCGACTAAAGAGACAAGAAATTTTGCTTGGAAGAGCTCCAAAAAAGGAATCGCCTTGTCCGAATCTTGAAACTGTGCATCCACTCCCTGTGACTTCAAATCACAAAAGAGTACATCACCACTGTCGTATGCGACGGTAGCCAAGCGTGCTTCAGCTCAGAAAAACAAAAGTACAGCCAAAACGAACCGCAGAGGACGATCACCAAGCGTTGAAAGGCAGAAAAGCGAGAGCAGGACAGCGAAACCGTCAGCAACTCAAGATAACCAAGCGTGTACACTTTTCACCTCGGCAAAGCCAAAGGCACAACAGCAACGTGCACCGAAAACAAGTGACGTGGATATTGTTATGTCGATGCTCTTCCTTGCTTTGAAGGCAATCCTGCGTGTATTTCCACAGGCCATTGACTGTTATGCGTAGAGGACGATCACCAAGCGTTCAAAGGCAGAAAAGCGACAGCAGGACACCGAAACCATCAGCAACTCAAGATAACCAAGCGTCTACACCTTTCACCTCGACAAAGCCAAAGGCACAACAGCAACGTGCACCGAAAACAAGTGATGCGGATATGGTTATGTCGATGCTCTTCCTTGCTTTGAAGGCAATCCTGCGTGTATTCCCGCAGGCCATTGACTGTTATGCGTATGGCGCGACATACCCTCTTTTGTTTTATACTCATCAGACTCGGACGTGCCAGAATTTGTAGGGTGCAAAATTCAATTCCAGAAACTTACCATCACCATAATTTGTGTTTATTTGCAACCATCGACACGCATCTCCGAATCATCTCTGGTTCATTTTGGGTAAAGCCCAGGGACCTGCTCTCATCTGTGGAGATTTCAATGCGCACAATACCACGTGGGGCAGTACTCATACCAATTCACGTGGGAGAACACTCGAAAAAGCAATCGATCGATGTGGTCTAGTTCTACTGAATGGTGGATCAGTAACGTTTTTAAGAGGTAATATTTATGCCTGCTGTCTAGATTTGGCTATAGCTTCTTCTGACATTGCACGAAATATGAACTGGTGTACAAACCTCGAAACACAAGGGAGTCATCATTACCCAGTTCTTATGCAACACCCAAGAATACAAGTGCAAACGACCACTTTGATTTCGAAGCTAACTGACTGGAAACTATTTAGTGAACATACTGGACGTGACTTGGTGGAAGTCAATGAATTGGATACAATTATGTCCTGCATTAAAAGCAGTTGCAGCCATGCGACAAGGTTTACAGCTGTCCCAGCAGGCCGCTCCAGTGTTGAAGCAGACTATGAGCGCCTACGAGCTATTAGAAGACGACCAGAACGCCGCTATCACCTCACTGGGAGACTTGAACATTATAAGAAGAGTCAGGCCACACACATCCAATCTAACCGAAAAATGCAGACGTTAGGTCGGAAAAATGGCATGATTTCTGCAATTCATTGGCCCCATTTACTCCACTTCTGAAAATCTGGCAAACAATCACTGCTCTAAGTCATCCAGTATTCTAGCGAAACCCAATCAGAGCATTGGCCATATCTCTTGGATTATCCGAGCGTGATGTTTCTAATAAGTTTTGCCCAATGCTGACTGGAACTGGACAGTTGGTTCACATCACTACTGCACTGCCTAGTTCTGTAGAGCCGCAAATCCAAGATGCATACACTTTATCACATGCTCAACTGGATAACACGTACTCTCTACTAGAGTTGCGTACTGCTCTATCACTAACCCGCGTAAGAACGGCAACCAGTCCCGACAACGTATCGTACAGTGTTCTGAATAATCTTGGACCCAACGGCATGCCAGTTCTTCTACGAATATATAACGACATGTGGACGAAGGCGTACGTTCCAATGTGTTGGAAGGTCGCGAGAATCGTCCCACTACTGAAGCCTGGTAAATCATCGCTTTCGCTTGACTCATTCCGACCAGCCAGACTCACTAGCTGTGTATCTAAAGTAATGGAAAAAATGGTTGACAGAAAATTACAGTGGTGGATTGAAGCGAACAACTCTCTTACAAAACAGATGGTTGGCTTCAGACGACGGCGATGCACCATGGACTGCGTCTTCAACCTCGTTATTTTTGTGGAACATGAGATGAGCTGTGGAAACATGGCTGTTGCGGCGTTCATAGATATTAAGAAGGCGTTCGACTCTGTGAGCCACCTTTCTGTGCTGCACGGGCTTACCTCACTAAGGGTTCACGGTCGTATCCTTCAATGGATCGCCTACTTCCTATGTAACAGACATTTGAACCAATACATTTCCAATACATTTCAACCAATAACCAATACCTTTATTACAATAACCAATACATTTCAACCAATAACCAATACATTTCAACAAATAACGGAGAGAGCGATCGCTTCAACATGTGCAGAGGCGTGCCCCAAGGAAGCGTTCTAAATCCGCTTCTTTTCAATGCTGCAATGGCAAGTCTTCCAGAAGCACTGCCCG